GTTTTTTTTTTTGTGAAAGCCTCTCAAAATCTTGTGATTAATGAGAGATAAATTTTGAAATTTTACTTGAGTACTTTTTACTTAAAAGTTAGTACCATGCAGACTTTTATAAAAGTCTCTAAAAGTCATAAAAATTTGAATACCACAAGACTTATAGAGACTTCTAAAAAGTTTTAATTGAATACACCGTGATTTTTAGAAACTTTTTAAAAGTTTATAAAAATCTCAATTGAATATATCAATACTTTTAGAGAGTCTCCAAAAGTCTACATTGAATACACTTAAACTTTTTAAATCCCAAAAAGTCATTACAAGTCTCAATTGAATACATCCCCCTAAGTCTGGCTTAAAATTCTAAACTCTACAATATTTGTTTTTTAAAATTGGATTGCAATTCCATTGCTATATTGTTTAATTTTTTCTAGAGCAAATTAGTTGGCACTTACTGGCTAGCACATACTAGTGTTTCTACTTTTTTAAAAAAAAGTGTCTATTGAACAATATGACGGTTGTTTCACCATCATGTAAAATGATGATAAGCATTGATAGTATTGCACCTCTTCTAGTAAGGTTCCAAAAACCCCACGTGACAATTACACAGCAAGCGATCCTTTGGCCGTATTCTATGTCGTTCTGCCCAAGAGGCAGTTTGGCTAAACTCCCGTGGAGAGGTGAACATGTATGGTGAGCTGAACCCATTAGCTAGAATCAACCCCACATGGAGAACCGACCCCTCATGGACGGGGTGAGGCTACAAGGGGCTCAACATGAGATATTTTAGATTGATGATACAATTCACTGCTACTATCGTCCTATTCAACCAAACAGGTCAAGTTTAGGTGTTGTCTCAGACTTTTGGACAATAAAATGGTATTGGCATTAAATACATATGATTGATTGATACTTTTGATAAAACCGGAGTCGGCGTACCTACTCCGGTCATATGCTTTCATCCTACAGCCAGTATCCTTCATCTTCTTCTATAAAATCTCAAAGATGTGTCATTCCAAAGGTAATGTAAGTTTAGACTCTAAAACTATAACTTTGCTCTCTATACGATTACTATTTTCTCCTAAAGCCGAACCCCTTTTACATAGGAGGCTCGCATCTGAAGCACCCCCACACTCAAATACTTTCAACTTCTATTGACTTGATCATCAGAATGTGCGTGGCTAACTCCACCACTACTAGAGGAAGCCAAGTGTAGCTAACTATTTGTCATAGCATGAAGAATCAGACTTATGTAGATGAGGAAGATCTTAGGATTTGTTGGCCATGTTGAAAGTACAAAATCAAGGTCAACAGATTAGCGCCGACTATAGGAAGCCATGCTATAACCACGAACATTCTTGTGGAAAAAGCTACCGGATTAAAGTTT